CGTCATCGTGAGCGGGCTAAAGCTTAGCACGGCTATGTTTAGAGCTAGCTAAAAGTAAAAAGTGTTTTAGGGATGGTGAGCTCATTAAAAGATGTGCTGTGAAAATGGCATCTTCATTTGGAGATAATAAGATGGCTAAAAATTTTGAAACAGTGTCCTTGTCTCATTAGACAGTAAGTAGAAGAATTAATGATATTGGTAATGAAGTTTCAAGGGCATTTTGGAAAAATGTGGATTTTACTCTATAGCTCTAGATGAGAGCAGAACAATAAACGAAGAATTTGAGATTCATGAAGAACTGTTGGAATTAAAATCATTAGAAACCAGAACCAAAGGTATTGTAATATTCAACGCACTGGATAACGTCGTTTTTAAATATGGAGGTTTTGGGAAGTGCTCTGGCATTGCAACGGATTGAGCTAAAGCAATGGTTGGTCATAGAACTGGGTTAGTAGGACTGTGTAAAGAAAAAGGCATACATTGTTTGCTTTTCCACTGCATTATCCACCAGGAGGCTCTCTGTGGAAAAATTATAAGGCTCAGTGAGACAATGAAAACTGTTGTAAATACTGTAAATTTAATAAGGGGAGGCAATAAAGCCCAGAGACACAGGGCATTTATTGCATTCCTGGACAATTTGGAAGCTGAGTATGGTGACATTTCATTGTACTGTGAAGTGCGCTGGCTAAGTGCTGGAAATTGCCTGCAACAGTTTTTTGGGTTGAGGAATGAAATTCTTGCTTTTCTCAGAAATGAAAACATTGGGCATGAGTATCAAGAAAAACTGGAAGAAATCCAGTTTTTAAATAATCTTGCTCTCCTGACAGATTTAACATCTCGTCTAAATGCTTTAAACCTAAAACTACAGGGCAAAAAACAAAATATCTTCCAGCTTTATGGACATATTGAGGGCTTCCGCAAAAGACTTGATGTAATGCAAATTGCAGTGAAGGCAAATAATACAGCACACTTCCCATCTTGTCAGCAGTTGGAAGAAGAAGAAAATGACACAAAATTTAGTATGTTTCATGAAATAATAATTGATATCAAGAAAGAGTTCCAGGACAGATTCCAGGATTTTGACTCCCTAAAACCAAAACTTGCACTGTTCAATAACCCCATGGAGATTGAAGTGAGTGAGGTGCCCTGCAACCTTCAAACGGAAATTTGTGATCTTCAGGCAGACCCATTCTACCAGACTAGAAAGTGTGATGTCCCTTAAACTTTCTGGAAACTGATTTCTAAAGAACGTTTCCCCAAACTGCTTAAATTCTCTCTGCAAATGTTATCGCTGTTTGGCAGTACATATGTGTGTGTGAAAGTGCTTTTTCTGCTCTCAAACAAATTAAATCAAAAACGAGAAATCGCATTGAAAGTGCTTCACTGGAATCAAGCCTGAGACTTTGCCTTACTGAACTTACAGTAGACACTGATAAACTTGTATCAGAAAAGCAATGGCTATCATCACATTGATTTCTCGACTGTAAAATAAAGTGATATATTAAACTAGTCAGTTATATGTAATTCATTTTCTTTCTCTAATGTCTCTGGCCCTCACTTTCCTATACAAAAATTTGATTGGCCCTCGGGTAACTAAAGGTTGGACCACACTGTTGTAGAATATGGAGAAAAATAATTACGATACCTATAACATCTTTTGTTTTATTGACCCTTCAAATCAGCAAATTATACTGCCGCACCCTGTATGTCTGTAGGCTACTCAGAATGAGCAGCCATAAGGAGGAAGCCATGTGGCATATTTACTCAAAGCAAGACTCATGGAGCCAGAGAAACAGCCATTGTTAGGTAACAGGTGTGTGACAGGCAACAATGGAGTAACTGTTTGAAGCGGTGTTTTCTGTACATTCTGTCCAGAGACTGTATAACAAGGAGCAGTCTGCAAGAAGAGTAGGACTATGACAAAAGACACTCGTCATCTCGTCAGAGAGGGCACCACACAATAACAAGTCTGTAACTGTCAAACAGTAATAAATATCTCGTCATAAGCTCCAGACGGGGCTCAACACCAAGACTGACTGACTAACTGACCATCAGTCGCAATGTGACCTTGAAGAAGAGTAGGAGGTTGGTGTGAGATGGCTGCCAGCCTGTGAGGATGTGATCCTGGGAGCAGAGGAATGTCAACTGTTGGAAGACGTTACTAAGCAGCGCAGTGAAGACCATGACTGAGAACACTAGTTTTTGTGTGACAGTGATTTGTAAAGTGTAGCCATGAGTTGTTTAAGAGTCATTAAATGTGATTACTGATCCAAACCCAGTCTATAGTCACTCAATCGCGTGACAATATTTGTATCAACACGGGTGTTGAACATTAATTATGCTTACTTTCAGGCATTTGAAGGATCTCATCATACTGACATCTGGATGCCAGCTGCTGTCTCTTATTTCAAATTATTTTTGGTTACTCTGGCTGTTGGTAAGTCCATCTAATTTTGCAACTACTTCTTGCTCTTAGTTTTCTTGCCCCCTCCTCACTATATTTTTATTTTATTACAGTCATAACCAGTTAAGACAAAATATGTCTACAGGTTAATTCACTTCAGTTTTGTTAGAAACATATAACTGTCCAAATAACTTCAGGTTTTTGTAATACGCAGGGCCAATACATGCAAACAAACAGTGTACAAATTACTTACATTGTTTAAATCAGTACATTTACTATTACTAATCACTAATTATACCACCATTACCATTTCTGCTCCCAGTCCATTTTCTCATTTTAGATTTTAACTTCCAGCTGACCTCTGGAAGGGAGAGGGAGGTTGTAACCTCTTAATTTTGGTCTCCCATTTACATTTAGTTTTAAATGAATATTTGTGCAGCTAATTATTTTCCTGTATGCTACATCCTCATTTATATTCAGCCATTTACAAGTTCTCCTCTCCACTTTTTCATTTCAGGGCACTTTAGCAGCATGTACTTAGCATCCTCTTCCCCCCCCCCAAACATAGGGGAACCTTCCTGTCTCAAATCCCCTCCTGATCTCTCTCAGTTTTCAGATCCATGCTTTCAGCCATATTATTCCAATCCTCTCGTTTCTTGTGCGTTCATCAATGTAGCTCACTCTACCCCACTCATGTTTCATTTCACAGTACAATACCAAGAAATCTTTTGGTGTATGTTCAAAAATACATTAAGTTTTTCTATATCATTACACCTTTCTCTGATTATTTTACATATCTTATTTGCATTATTCTCTGTTATTCTTTGTTAAATGTATGCTAAACCTCTTGTTTCCCATTCCTCCATTAACACATTGCGGACCAGTTGTTTAAATATTTAAATCACCCTGAGGACCGGGGTTTTTAAGGCTAGCACCCTAACTTGTGCACTGTTTACTTTAAAAATTAATATAAAATCTCCTAATTAGTTTTATGAACTATAATTTTTGGAGAACACTTACCAGAGCTCCTAGAAGTACTTGTGCGTGTGATATCTCTGGAAACGTTCCCCTTTGTGAAGAGGCATAATGCAGAAGTTGCAGATGTACGCAGTCCTACTCTTCTTCTTGTGGACTGCGCACACATGGCACTGCCTAGAAGGGTACTTCTTGCAGTGTTCACTCTTCACAATTCTCACGAGGGTATGTTTCCACATATCACCCGAGAGTTGTCCAGGGGGGTCCACATGAGGCCTCCAGTGGGTGCGAACAGATGGCCCTGGCTGCACTACGTCTGTGTCTGACGCAGGTACTGTCGCCACCATGAGGTCAGTAGCCCAAGGTTTTGCCAAGTTCAACAGAAATGCTTTGTATTTCAAAGTAGAATTTCTGTTCACCCCATGTGGCTGTCCCGTTACTCGCACTTTCATCGGAGCTCTCACTTTCACTGGACACAATATTTTGGGGGGCCCTGTGGCCCCTGTCACTGTCACTTTCACTGAGGCAGGCCTCACTATCAGAAGACGAAGCAGTTGGCAAATCTGATAGCCCATCGGAGAACAAATCTAATATTTCTTGTTCTCCGAGAGAACGCTTCGCCTGCAACTGCTTTTGTCTCTGATCCATGTTGCACTGTTAACTTCCTGGTTCATACGTGGAAGCTTGAACTCGAACAAAGGCTTTTTTCTTTAGGGTGTGACAGGAAATGAGCGTGATCATGTTACTGGCTAAGCTAGCAAACATTCCCGAGGTCAACTACGCAGTAGTTATGATGCAACGTGGCCACACAGCGAGATATAGTCGGTTGCAACATAACGCGTCAGAAAAGGGCCAATTGGCCCGCCCGGTCCGCAATGCTATAGAAACGTAGAGGGCCAATTGGCCCCTCCAGTCCTGAATGTGTTAACTTCCTTGCTCAGCCTTCTACTTTCAGGTTATTTGTCTACCATTCATAGCTTGCTCTTGCTGTTTCCGGAGAGTATGTTTATACCTATGTAAGGGAACTTGCAAGTAAGGTGTACCAGGAAACTGTTAAAAGTAGGTGTCTCAACTACTCTCAAGGACACCACCCCCACCAAACGCACACATAGAAGTGGGTACAAAGCTTTGTGGGCTCCAAACCTACCAGACTATTGCCTTAACATACCATTAGTTACAAGCTACTGAAGAAAGAAAAAAGTGACCATATATATTTTGTGCCTATCATACATTATTCCATTTTTGATGATTAAAATTACCAGTCATAATATTCACTTTATATTCTGCAGACTTCTCTTAAATATAGATGTGTGACAGTGAATTTATCCAATATCACAAATTAAATTTTTATTTCAGGATGTTTCTCAAGGATTTGGTCACTCCCTTGAAACTTCAAGCTTCCATAAATATGGCTGATATGCACCAAATCTATTGCTTTTTGTCAAGTTTGTTAAAAGAATCGTCCTTATTCAGATCACTGAGGCAGCCTGCAGTGAAGCCGTTAAACCAAATATATTGTTTTCTTATCATATCTCATGATCAGTTTATTCGTATAGTGAGTGACATTTAACACAGTTTATTGTTTCTGTAGTGTATCCAATATTTAGAAGAAACTCAGTCTTATGACAACAATGTTGCTGCTGAGACACATTGAAGTCTACAAATAAAATGCATGATCAGACAAAACACATTTTTGAAAAAAGCCTGTCTAATCTTATTATCATCCTGAGGTGTTAGGTTGCATTCATACATAGTGCTCTGTGCATAGCATGTCTCTTACAGCAGGAAGCTCTGTCTTACATGCTGATTTATGCTAGTTCACACCAAAATTTTAGTTTCTTCTGTGAAGTTAGAATGATCTGCCCGTGTTATGCCAGTATCAAGATGTGTAAGAATGCTGAATTAAAATTGAACGCAGGATGAAGAATTGTAAATTATTTCCTGAATTTAAAGAGGAAAGAAATAAGTTTGGAAAAGTCTTCCAATTGTACAGAGATGCAAGGCATTATATCAGTAAGTTTCATGACTGTTATAAGAAGTGTATTTGATACTCTGTTGAAGAAACTGGAGTTCATCTTTGTAGGCTAGGAACCAATTATAGAGAGATGATATTTGCTGAAAAGACAGTACTTTTGTCAGTTGAGTTAATGTGGCTTAGTAATAAGGTAAAGTATTATGAAATTGTCTCCATAAGCCAAGTGTAAGGAAATCATTGGTAGCGTATGTTTCAAGTAATTAATTTCTTTGTATGCTGGTTCATCTCATAGTTGAAGGTATAAAGGACTGAGAAATGATTATGAAACATTGCTGCAATTCATAGAAATTGATATGATATTATTTAGGTTGCAGAAATCACTGAAGTAAGCTAAAATTAGCTTGAAATGTAAAATTTGTAAAATAAATGGACAGTAAATAAGGACTGAAATTTAACTCATTTACTCTTGAAGGAATGGAAATACATACACCTTATATATACAGTTTATTGTATATGTTTATTTTCTCTACAGAATTGATGTTCTTGAAGTGCCTCTTGTGTTAACATATTCAATTCCAATTCACCTCATGTTGTTTTTTTTCCTCGGGGTTTTTACTTTTGATGTAGTTAAACATCTTCGAAACAGTTTGCCATTCCTTTGCATCTAAGCACTTGTCCACGTGTATCCTCTATCATCATAGTTATTTTTAGCAACACACACTCGCTATCTTCACGACAGTGCAAACACCAAAACTATGTATAACATTTGGGAACATACTAGGTTGATTGTGAGGTGCAACAAAGGAAGAATGTTACATCTACTGAGCAGGGCAGTGATGCTCAGAATGTATTAACTATTAGAGCCAAACTTAAAACAAATAAATTATATATTGCTTTCATTGCCATCTTAAAAATGTAACTGCATAAGAGACTTGGAGTTGTCACCAGAATAGCTGTGAAGTGAGGTCATTGGAACATCTTCACTGTGACTAGGTGGTTTCATTAAACCTTTATCCTTCTGCACTGAATCTACAAAGCCTTCTCATACAAGGAACTTTGTGACAGATTTCATGTCCCAGATGTTAATGACACCGCAGCATCCAATTCAGTGTAATGATTCTCTGTGACTTTGTTTTCTAGGCTCCAGTTCGTGGTTTCTGGTTGCTGTGGGTTGGTCTTCTTTCTCCATGGTTCTTCCAGCAACCTTCTGCACCACAAGAAATTGATGAGAAAAAGCAGAGGAAGCTAGAGAGGCGGATGAAGAGGCACTGATTGTTTGTTACATGTCCATGTTGCACATTTCCATTCAAATTATTATTCTAGCTGTACCTTCTCTTTGTATCAGTGACAGGGTAACATATTTCTTATAAGTGAGTGGGTGATGTGGACATGTGTGTTTTCCCAAGTTGCAGGTACACATCAGTTTCAGCATGAAGCAGCGCAACTGTCATGACAAACTTCCAAAATATTGCACATGTCTAAAGTAAGAGTCAAAAACTGATGTAAAAAACAGATGAACAAGAAAGAATATAGCAGTGTGATGACTCAGGGGCTCGTGGGCTTTTTACCATTTTTTAATGCTATAAGCGTAACGCATGTGAATATTTCTTTCTTTTCTTGTCCATTTTCAGATGAGATAGTGGAAATAGACATTTTGTCTAAAAAATTCGTATGTTGTATAGTTATTATATGTTGCTCCATATAATATGTATTATAGAACTACATAATCTAATTTTTCAGTGTAAATTCAGAGACTGAAAAATTGGAGTATATTCTCTTGAAAGAAAACATGGCAGTTTTCAAGGTATCAATAGTCAGCACTGATTTGTAATTAACAGTGAAAAGAACAGTATTATGGTAGCTACGAACATAAGCTCAGTCCATTCCTGAATGTAAAACATGCACATGTTTTTCATGTGTGAAAATACAGTCTGTAATATGCTAAAAATGCAGGATGATCTTGTCAGAAGCTCCAGATAAAACCACAAGAAATAACTCAGACTCAGACAAGGTAAAATGGAAATTCCAAGAATGGTAGAACTCTGTTACAATATGAGAGGAAACAGCATGCAATTTCAGAACAGTTGAGATAAGTACGTACAATATTTGATCACCATCAATGCATATACTGTGATCTTATTATTGAAGAACAAGATATTTGCATGTATTTACACAATCTCCTGTCTGTACCCAATATATGAGTCAGAAAGATATAAATATTATATATTGTGGCCTTATGGAACTGTTGATAAGCAGCGACTCTGTAAACATACCTCATACCTCAAAAACAGGTATCAAAGAGTTGAAATAAATAATAAAAACTCCAGTCATAATGCATTTTCAAACTGGGGAATTATAAAGCATGGTGTTCCACAAGGATCAATTTTAGGTCCCTTACTTTTTCTTCTCTACATAAATGATCTATCTAAAACCATCAACAATAAATCTAAACCAATTCTATATGCAGATGACACTAGTATAATATTTAAGAACTCTAAATTTGACAACTTTAAAAATGACATAAATATTGTATTTGAAGCCTTAAACAGATGGTTCGAAGCCAATTTACTCACTTTAAATTTTGATAAAACCCATTAC